TTCAGGAGCAGTAACTAAAAAGGGGAAATCCCTCCTATTCTTTATTTCCCCCTTACAATGCAGGCTGTCAAACAAAAGCTGTTGAAGAGTAACAGCTTAGGTGGTCCAGCTCTGAAAAGCGTATGGCTAATACCAGTTCTTTTATTTCTTTCTGCAGATATTGCAGTGGTGGAGATGAGTGATGCTTTCCGCCAGCCTTCCTTGTTCTACCACCTGGGGGTCAGAGAAAGCTTCAGTATGGCCAACAACATCATTCTCTACTGTGATACAAATGTAGACTCCCTGCAATCACTGAAGGTAGACCTCAAGTTAAAAGATGGATAGATATAGGTATAGATATAGAGATATATCTGAAAATAGACTCAAACTGCTGGTGACTGATGCAGACTGCCCAAGAGTTGAGAGAAAAGCCAGAAGAATCATTTGAGGTCTGAAAAATGTGTCTGCAGTGATGGCCTGAAAACACTCTATCTGATTAGTTTATCCAAGAGAAAAGTACAATGTGACATGGTCATAGTCAGTACCTATATGGGGAGGACATTAAAACCCGCCCCCCCAACTGTTTCTAATCTGAATGTATTTAGCTTCAGTTTTCAGTTATCAAATACTGTATCAGCTAGGGCAATCAATCATTGGAGCAACTTACCTGGCCATGTAGTAGACACTCCATCATTCCGGATTTTTAAATCGGAACTATATCTCCTCAAACAGCTCAGCCAGAAGTTATGGGCTTGATGAAGGAGATTGGTTCTTTGGCCTGCTTTATGTGAACTGGGTAATCATAACAGTTCTTGTGACCTGAAGGTCTATGAAACTTTCAGCATTTTCCAATTCCCATTTCATATTTTGCTAAGAGGAACCATATGTACTTTTGTCTTTTATACTAACAAAAATAGCAACAAGGAAAGAAAAAATAAAATCTTATTGAATGTGCCCACTCTAACAGGATACAGCAACTTTTGGAAAAGCACACAGGTGGAGTTCTTAAAGGTTTATTGCACAAGATCATAAGGCACTGCTTCATTGCTGTATATAATGTATCATGTATAAGCCTGATGCAGAGGTCTAATCTTTAAATATAATGTCCTGAAGATTTTCAGGCTTTCTAAAGCCTAGGATTTAAATCAGGGAGGATGGGGAAGGGGTGTCATGGGCATGTTGGTAAGTAGGTTTAGGAGAATACAAAATACGGGGCATTTTCCACACTGTTGAGCCAGATGAAATTTTAAATGTAGGCCAGGGGGAGGTAATTATTTCAGGCAGATAGCTCCCCTCTCTCTCTGCTGGTACAGCTCAGCCCAGCTCCATAGACCCCTGCCAGCCCATGCTCCTGCCACCCTGCTCTGGGCCATGCCGGCACTGGCCTTGGGACATCCATGCATGCTCCACGCTTCTGCATGCCTGCTCGCCTTCACTCCTCCCACCTCCACTTCCCCCACTTTCCTGCCTGCCTGTGGGCCGCTCTGCACCACGTGGCTCCCAGCTGCATGGCTCGACTGTGGGACTCAGCAGGAGCTGGTCTGGCCCTGAGGACTGGGGCGATCTCCCGTAGTCCTCCCCTGCCTCCTCCCCCTTCTTACCTGAATTTCCCACTCCAGTGCAGGGAGGCACAAACAGCCCCATGGTCTCAGGCCAGAAGCCTCTGCTAGGCAGGGGCTTCTGGCTGGTGGGGGCAGGCCTTGCTGTTTCAGGAGCCTGCCATGGCTCCTGTCATCTTTGACAGGTAGCCGGGGTAGATAAATATTAATTTTCTAAATTTTTAGGGGCCCTGCAGGCTAGATAGAATGGCCTGGTGGGCTGGATCTGGCCTGCGGACCGTATTTTGCCCACCCCTGGTATAGACTTACCTCTGAGTTCAGTCCTATTATTAAGAGGTTTCTTCCAATGAAGCCAGTTTAAAATAAATAAAAAAGGAAAGTTCTGAGTCATTCATACAGCCATTGGAGAACCCTTATCACATCAGCTTACAATGGAAAACCATTGTTTGGTGGGTCAACATAGTGAATGCTGACTGGATATAATGATAGGATATCTGGAGCTTTACATTACTGGACATTATTGCTCGCAGTTTGTTACTCTTTCAAGCCACGGATGAGTGGTTTCTCCTATAAGCTGAAAATCAGAATAGATTTTAGGAAATGTTAATACTTTTATACCTACCTACCTTTAAAATGTTGTTTTCCTTAGGCAACTTTGCAAGAGGTACAGCATCTTAAGCTTTAGAAAAATCTGTTTTCAAACTAAATGGTTTATTAGTAGTAGTATTATTGCAGTACTTGGTCAATACATGGGGACTGAATCATGGACTTGCTGAGTTGAAAGCATGAAGTGATGAGCCAAACCTTGAGTCAAGGGCTCTAATAGACTCCTATTTTCTGATTAGGACATAGAAGGGGACAAAATCCACACTAGTGACTGGGTGTGACTTCAATGGTATGGTTCTGAAGACCACTGAGAGGGTTACCTGTAGGTGTGCATCCAGTGCATGTTTCTGCATGAGGTGCACATTTCTGGTAGGCCCTTATGTTCCAGTCATGCTGTGTTGCATAGAACCTAAAAAGGAAGACCATGTTATGGTTAGAGATTAAGAATCTCTCTCAGAGAACCTCTTGATTAGTCTTGATGTTTTTAACTCCAGTTAAAACCATTTAACTTCAGCAGCAGGTATTTAAAAAAAAAAAAAAATCCTGTTTGAAAGTATTGTGGGGGGAAAGCAGTTGTAACAGTTACTAAGGAAAAGTATGTGAGCCAGCTTGAGAAAGAAATGGGAAGACTTGAGCTGTCATCGGTCCTGCTGTGTTCCCAAGCAGCTACTTCTGGAAAGAACAGGATTTTTTTTTTCTAGTTTTGTCCTGTTGCATGTAAATTGGGCTTCCTTTCTGAGATAAGTCTCAAATGATTCAGCCTCTTCTCATCATCTCGCAGCCAGTTGGACTGTTAGCCATCCAATTATATTTGCAACACAGAGTGCACTGATTATAGGCTCCCACAATAAAAAGCTGATGACACATGATCTATTGATGAGTTGAATTCAGTTATACCGTACTCCACTTCACTGAATGAGAACTTCAAGGAGAAGAATTTTGGTAGTACTGACTAGTCAGATGTCCTTGGAAACTGAGTACTTCCCCTCCACAGAGCATGGACATTTTTTCACCTTTTCATTTAGGGCTCCATTTCTGTAGGCTCTCCTACATACTGCTAAGCAAGAGTGTGCATGTGGACAGTTAAAACACAGCAGCTTATACATGCTGAAGCTCTATGCCCTCTGATCATCCAGTTTGCATGTCTGTTCTGCGACCACCGTTGAGAATGCCATTGTTTATATTTGAGGGGCCTGAATCCTGCAAGTATTTCATGTCCAGGACTCGTAAGTCAATAAAAGCTCAACATGTATAAATCTTGATAGTATGAATCAGATGTTCAAAATTCCCCATCGACAGGTTCAATTCAAAGTCCACTGAAGTAACGAGAGAGACTTCCTTTGTCTGCAGTTGGATTTGTGTTGGGCCCTATGTTCATGCTTAATGCTCTAGAGTTAGGAGTTGGAAGGAAAAGAATAACAGATAGGTTCCTCAGCTACTTTGAGATGGGTTTTGTGTTGGGTCCTTTCTCGGGGCTAATACAAAGTATGTGGATTGCAATGAGAGTCTTTTCACTTAAGTAGGGCCTCATACCTTCTGGACCATCATTACTGCAGACAGCAGGAGTAGAAGAGGGATTGAAGGGGTACAAGCACACCACCCCAGATTACAGACTGAATTCTGGACAAAATAGTCAAGATGCATCCCATGAAGCAGCCTGCTTGCAAGTCACTTTTGGTCGTTGTGCACCCATAGGACCTTTGTCACAGGCTTCTGATCAGATAAGACAGGTAATAGAACATAGAGATAAGGGAAAAATCCATGGTTGGATGGTCCAGAAGGTATGAGGTCCTACTCAAGTGAAAAGACTAATAACGTAGTGTATTTTATAACAGTACTTGATTATTAGAGGAGTCATTCCCTCTAGGTGTACTTGGGCTCTTGATTGTTTTGGTTTGTTTGTTTTTTAAAGTGGACTGGAAAGGGCCTGTTTCTGTTTTTTCTCTTAATTAAAACAAAAGCAGGGTGTGTCTTCAGGAAGACTCATGCTTTCTCCTTACTTTGTTGCTTAAACTGAAACACAGACATAAAGGGATGTCATGTGGCTCTAAGATGGACCTGGGTGACTGACTGATTTGACCTGACAGTGAAATGTGACTTCTCCCCTATCTGCCTTTGTACGCAGGATTTTTTTAGTAGAAGGGTGATGCATGGGAACATGGTTTGGTTTACTGTGGTCTGTTGGGGATTTTCCCCTTATTTCTGTGTTCCATTACCTGTCTTATCTGATCGGAAGCCTGTGACAAAGGTCCTATGGGTGCACAATGACCAAAAGTGACTTGCAGGCAGGCTGCTTCATGGGATGCATCTTGACTATTTTGTCCAGAATTCAGTCTGTAATCTTGGGTGGTGTGCTTGTATTCCTTCAATCCCTCTTCTACTCCTGCTGTCTGCAGTAGGTGATGGTCCAATCTTGCCAGAGCTAGGCTGCATGGTCCTTCTTTCCCAGCCAGGCAGGCAGGCAGCCAGCCAGCAGCACCCACTGAGTCATCTGAGAGTCCAATCCCAGCCAGGCTGACCAGTTGTACTTTGGCTGCCCACCCAGCTGGCAAAGAGGGGCTGAACATCTGGCAAGATCAGGCTCTCAGTTGACTCAGCAGACGCCACTGGCTGTCTGCCCAGCTGAGAGCCCAATTCTGTTGGAGACAGACTGCTCGTCCCCTCTTCCCAAACTGGGCGCACAGCCAGCAGTGCCTGCCACATCCTGCCAGCCCCAAAGGCCAAGGGCCCGATCCTGACCGCGCCCTCCCTTTTCCAAAATCCTAGCTCATCTGTTCCTTTTAGTCTGGTTATTGTGGAAAACTTTAGTCCAGGATAAATATTTCAGAATGCTGTAAAATATAATATCTGTAAATGTTTAGTGGCCAATTGTATTAATCATATCAGTCTTCTAAGGGTATGGACAAGTGTACATTTCTAGCAGCTTCAGAAAGTAGAGGGGGAGCTTATGCGTGGGAGTACGCAGCAGCTATTGCATTGTGCAGTTGTTACACGCACACAAGCCTGGATGCAGCAGGCTTAAAGTAATAAAATTCTTCCAACATTTTAATTACTACAGACTCGTGCACACCTAATATTTACAATGTAACAGCTGCTGCATGCTCCCCCTACCTTTTTGAAGCTACTACAAATATACATTTGTCCACACCCTTAAAGGCTATTCAAGTTCTGATTTTAATATTTCAATTTTTTTTTACAGGAAATTATTTGCCAGAAGAATAATGTAAGTCTGAGTTTGCTTGCTTGCTTGCTTGTTTTGTTTTTAATCTTAATTCCTAATGCTCAGGTTTCTTTTAGTCTTCACATTGTATGCACTATGCTCTTTTCTGTCTACTTCACTAAATATTCCCCTGCTGTATTGCTCATAGTACCGTTTTTAGTCTGTTGCGTTCAGAATGCCTCCACTCCCAGCAGCAAACCTGGATACATCATTTCATAAACCTGTTGCTAGGTACCAGGTTCACTTTCTCTGTTTTATCTCTGTCTCTTCCTCTCAATAGTTTTTTCCTCTCTGCCTTTCTTTGTTTCTCTTTTTATTTCACATATGCTCTTTCCTTTGCAATACCGTTATTTTCTCTCTCTCCCCCAAATTTCTTCTTCTCTCCGACTTATTTTCCTTAAAGACAACTTAACCACATGAATGCCCTTCTCTGACTCGTATGTACAGCATACATTTATTTTACCTTCAAACATTCTGTGTGCTTGTGACAGGCATGTCTCTCACATATACACACATACCTGTGCATCCATCTGTGCCCTAAGAATGGTGGTCTGCAGAAGCTGGGACTTTCATTCCCATTTCTCTCAGGACAGATACGCTGATGCAATTTCAGACAACCCTTCACTGACTGGAAGCCATTTGGTTTCCTAGTGCAGCATTTGACACTGTTCAAATCTGTTGCATTTACTGTATAGTAAAATACTGTCCCTGCTGCTGTGTGCGCATACAACTGCAAACATGTACAGATGTAGGCAGGGCATGATTCTTAGAGATTTACTGCATCAGGTTAGGAGACTAAAGCTCTGGGTGTTTAGTTGCCACCTTGACATTAGCAGGTGGGAAAAGTGCATTGCTACCACAGGCTAATTTTAGGTTAAAATGACCACGCTAGTATACCAGTATTAAATTCATTCAGTTTTTAAATATAATGTGTATATAATGGCTTTAATTTGCTTGTCAGTGTTTCAGTTACAACCTGATATCCCCTGGTCTTCACTGGATTATATATACAGATGAGACAGGTAATGGAGGGTGGACCAGCACTGCTGGAGTTATATCTGGCAGACTCTTTTGGCCAGTAAACATAGTGTGTCTTGTGGATATTTGAGGGCAGTATTAGGACCCTGAATAAAGACAGTTAATTTGGTAAAACAAAAAGTGAGGATTGTTTTAGAAACCAGGTGATGTGACTACAGAATGTTTTCCTACAAAGTGAGGCCTGTGGTATGGAGCGCCTTCAAAATGAAGGATTGAAGACATCCAGACCCTTATAGGAGGTACTCTGTCTATCCTGCTGTTCTGGCTCTGGTTCCCAGCCACCAATGCACTATAGGTGTCTGCAGCTTGGCATCCATTCTTTTTCTGGAATTGCCTCCTATCCCTAAATGGGCTTGGGTTTAAGCACTAAGGTTGCTTTGTGAACCCTACAAAAGAGCAAGCTATTGAGCCATTCTTTTTTTTTTTGACATTGCAAAGTTTTACAAAACTGTTCATGTGTACACAGTACAGATGTACATTTCCCTAAAGTTCAACTTTAGAAACTGACCAATTTTTGCCTTAGGTAACTGTTGAAGTTATCTTAGCGGCTTCATTATATTTTTTACTTTTCTGAATTTATTTCAAATGATGACTACTCCACATTCTGGAATACTTCTGTAGATATCTTAATCTAAGTATGAATGACTTCTGGATCTTCTCTTCTGTTAAGAAATTGAAAAGGGTATAAGCTAAAAATTCTCTCTAATTTTAAAAAGCGCTTGTGAAAGCCACTTTTGAGAATCTGTGTAGATAATGTTGCTGCAACAGAACAATTTTCCCACATCTTCCTACAGATAAAAATGAGCTAAAAGACAATCACGTAAAACAATAAAAAAGACAATCTCAGGGTAGACTAGATGGCAATAATCTGGACTAAATTAATTTGCAGCCCTTGGCCATTACAAAAAAATTTAAAGCAAAATATTTTCTAGGTGGCTGAATGTCTACACAGGAACAGGCTTTAGGAGAGGAAACCCAGTAAGTAAGAAATGAACAGGAAATATAATGCAGAGCATTATATGTTCTGTTTTTTTTAAATCTGAAATGGAGGATGAGATGATAGAATTGTCATCTACCTTAAAAAAATGTTTCAGTAAATTTTAACATAAAATGTGTTCTTAAAGACTTATAGATTGTTACATAGGCATGCTTGGAAACATCATTTCTCAGGAATAAGTATGATCTTAGTTACTAATTCTGGGTTCTGTTCACAACCCTGTCACTGATTTACTGTGTGACCTTATCCAAGTCACTTGGAAAGAGGGTAGTCAGATGTTCCATTTGCATTTCTTATCAATGGCAGTTTGGCACAATTCTCACTTTTTTCTTTGAAAATCTTCTCAGTTACCTGAACCTCAATTTGCCTTGTTTAAATAGTTCTTGCCTCCCAGAAATGGTGAGATCTCCCTTAGTGAAGTGCCTGTAAAATACTCCGAGACTTTTGAATAAAGTTAACTCAGTGTAAAATAATATTAGTTTGTTCTTCGGGGAACACTATTATGTAGGTGATTTTAAACTAGGTATCAAATTAAAAATAATGAATAATCAGAGGTGTGGGAACCCCTGGCAGTGCTAGAATGCTGTTTACTAACATACAAACATCACTAGCTATGGAACAATAGCATCTTGTACCACCAAGGCGTTAAATGAGTTACAAAATAGGCGCTAGTGTGTCAGAATGTTCGTCTTTGTTGAACTTTGTCTTCCTAAAACCAGAAGGAAAAAAATCCACTTCCAGCAATATTACCTTGTATTGGTTAGGTAAACTCTATAGAAATCTGCATAGGCAGAGCAGGGGGACGGTCGCAGCACATGATCATTTCCTGTTACAACATGATGTTATAGTTTGTTCAGTTGAAAGGGTTTGAAAACAACCAGTTTGCTTATTCTGCATATGTCAAAGCTAGTGGTGTTTTGACAGGAGAGGGAGGAGTGATATTTTGACAGGAGATAGCTATTTTGATGTTTATGAGTTTAAGCTTTGTTTTTGCTGCTATCTAATCTTTGAGGTTATACTAGCAGTGGAGCAGTTCTAAAGTTCTTAAGGAAGAACTTCCATTTTAAAGCAATTGTGGTATAAAGTTGTTTATGCTAACTACTCAATTTCTGTTTAATTCTGTGGCTTGCATTTTACCTCCTTGGGAAAAATAGCTGTCCTTCAAGTTCATCGGTGACTTTTATTTCAGTTCC